ATCAACTGAAAAGTTCAGCTACTTTAGATTATATCGGGAAATCAGAAAAAATAAAGCTGGATCCAACTTATACCACATCCAAAGATTGCTCTATATATATTAAAAACTTAAGGGGAGGCTGGGCATAGTGACTCACACCTGTAATCCCAAGCACTTTGGGAAGTCAAGGCAAGCAGATCACATGGTCAGGAATTCGAGACCAGCCTGACCAACATGGTGAAACCCCATCTCTACTAAAAATACAAAAATTAGCTGGGCATAGTGACATGCACTTGTAATCCCAGCTACTGAGAAGGCTGAACCTGGGAGGTGGAGCTTGCAGTGAGCCGAGATCGTGCCATTGTACTCCAGCCTGGGTGACAGAATAAGACTCTGTCTCAAAAAAAAGAAAAGAAAAGAAAAAAGAAAAACTTAAGGGAAACATAAAGCCATAAAGCTAAAAGAAATTTAGTAAGACAATCTGGGTGACCTAAGTCCAAGAAGCACTAATAAGGCAAATATAGTAAGGCTAAAAAATGATGGATGTGACTACATTAAAATCAAGCATTTCCATGCAATAAAGAATACCAAGGCAAAGTTAATAGAAGGCACCCCAGGAGATGATATTTGTATAGTCTAAAACTAACCGGAATTTAATAAATATTACACATATTAGCAGTTCTATAAATCAACAAGAAAAATACAGGAAACAAAGGATATGAAGAGGCAAAGGAAAATGGTTAACTAGAATATGAAGAAATGATTAAATTCACTGGTAATTAGAAATAAAAATTAAACAGCCTAGCCAACATGGTGAAACCCTGTCTCTACTAAAAATACAAAAAAATTAGCTGAGTGTGGTAGCACACAAATGTAATCCCAGCTACTCAGGAGGCTGAGGCAGGAGAATTGCTTGAACCCAGGAGGTGGAGGCTGCAGTGAGCCGAGATTGCACCACTGCACTCCAGCCTGGGCAACAGAGCCAGACTCTGTCAAAAAAAAAAAGGGGCACAGTGGCTCATGCTTGTAATCCCAGCCTGTTGGGAGGCCATGGTGGGTGGATCATTTGAGGTCAGCAGTTCAAGACCAGCCTGGCCAACATGGTGAAACCCTGTCTCTACTAAAAATACAATAATTAGTCAGGTGTGGTGACACACACCTGTAATCCTAGCTACTCAGGAGGCTGCGGCAGGAAAATCGCTTGATCCAAGGAGGCGGAGGTTGCAGAGCCAAGATTGCACCACTGCACTCCAGCCTGGGCAACAGAGTAAGACTAAATCTAAAAAAAAAAAAAAAAAAGGAAAGAAAAGGAAAGAAAAAGAAAACATTTTTTCCTGGTTTAAAGTTACTTAAAGATTTCAAACTGAAGGAGTAAAAAATAGATAAAATATAGAAAGTTGGAAAAAATGTAAAACAAAAGGTTTATAGAAATCTTGTAATTAAAAGATGACAGATTTTATAAATTTATTTTGAGGTTTTATTTAAATTAGTTTTAGTATTGATAATGTAGTAATATAAAAGTAAAATTTAGTTTTCTCTTTTGAACAAAAATTTTTGTAGCATTAAGGCAACAAAATATTTTTGTTCACCTTTTAAGTAAACTACAAAAAGAAAAAAAAAAGGTAAAATGAAGAGATAAATTCTGTCTCATGCTGTCCTAGGTCTTCTGATTGAAAAATGGAGTCTTCTTTATCAAAGAGTGCAGGTTTTTGTTTTTAAAAATCTTTTAATTATCACTGATTAAATGACTATTATTTTACAGTGACCTGTGATCCGATTTTGGTGACATATTTAAAACTTTGACATACTTGGCAGCTTCCCAAAATCAAATTTCAGCTTCAAAATTAAGTATTTTTTGACCTCTAACTTTGGGATGCTGCAGACAGCCCCTGAGGCATCGGAAACGGAGCTAAACAGGATTATTTGACATGTTAAGTTACAGGGAATCATTGCCAAATAAGAAATACGTTTAAATAAATTAATTAATTAAATAAAATAAAAAGAAATAACATTTAACCTTCTTCAGATTATCTTTTAATAAATGTTATTAATATATGTTCCAAAACTGTGTAGGACTTCTAAAATTTTAGTAAGTTGAGTATGTGCTATCAATCATAATTATGGTTATTAAGTTATTATCGACCACAGAAATAACCAAATTTTCTTGTCAACTGCGTCTTTAACTATGACTATTTAAAGTCATATCTGGCTGGGCGCAGTGGTTCACATAGCACTTTGGGAGGCCGAGGCGAGTGAATTACCTGAGGTCAGGAGCTCAAGACCAGCCTGGCCAACGTGGTGAAATTCTGTCTCTACCAAGAATACAAAAATTAGCTGGGCATGGTGGCGAGCGCCTNTTGTGGGTATAAGTTTATACAACCATTCGGCAGTCTCACAGTACTTATGCTGCAATGCCACCTGGCTCTGTGTCTCCGAGAATTCTCAAACATGTGCAAGACCGTTACTGGTAGCATTGTTTATGGTAGCCTAGGTGCCCATCGCTATGGGAATGGATATATACCAGGGAATACTATGCTGCAGCTAGAAGTAATTAGCTAAATCTACATTCACATAAATAGACCTGGGTTTGTGGGGAGTTTTTTTGTTGCTGTTTTTTTAAGACAGAGTCTTACTCTGTCGCTCAGGCTGGAGTGTAGTGGCTCGATCTCAGCTCACTGCAACCTCTGCCTGCCGGAATCAAGCAATTCTGCCTCAGCCTCCCAAGTAGCTGGGACTACAGGTGTGTGCCACCATGCCTGGCTAATTTTTTGTATTTTTAGTAGAGACGGGGTTTCACTATGTTGACCAGGCTGGTCTCAAACTCCTGACCTCAGGTGATCCACCCACCTCGGCCTCCCAAAGTGCTGGGATTATAGGAGTGAGCCACCGTGTCCGGCCCATAAATAGATCTTAAAGCATAGCACTCACTGAAAAAAGTAAAAACCAGAGTAAGATCTACAGCATTTCTACAAGGAGAATTCATTCTCTAACAGTGTGGTGTAATGAGAAATTTTGTAATTACAAATACACACACCAAAAGAATCAGTAAGTATTTTACAAAAATGCATACAGAATCAAGGACATATCAAACACATTAGAGAGTGTGCCTGTGAGATGGGGAGAAAAATAGACATGGGAATGAGGGCTGAACAGAAGGCTTTTGTACACCAATGCTAGACTGTACCCAAATTATGGGAGTATGAAGTCCAAATTCAGAATAATATTTTTCATTCATGCAAACATTAATTTATTCCATAAAAACTTACTGAACACCTGTTAAGTGCCAAGAACTCTGGTTAAATAGAAACTTTTCTTATTTCTGCTAAAGGTATCTTTTTAAGTCAAATATATTTTATTGGAAGTAGAAGGGAAAAATAATTTATAGTAGAATAAAATATATACTAAAGACATAAGAAACTCATCCTTAAAATGCTTTATAAAACTTTTTTCAACAAATAGAAATGTACCTTGAAGTTCTTTAAATGACAAGTTAAATGAAAAATCAAAATACAAAAAGAACTCTAAATTCCTACATAAATTAGCCACATCTCAATCCACACATAAAATGCCTTTTCTCATGGCTTTCAGTGGTAAAACAACTACTTTTTGGAGAATAAATTTTTTCTACTTTATTTGTTCTATGTAACACCCTCCCTTTGCACCCAACAATATTTCAACTGCTCAGGAACACTTCTCACCAGATTTCTGTTTTGTAAAAGATTTCACAAGCAGACTGCTGGCTGCCAATGTAGGTGTTGTTGTAAATATGCTCATTATGCCATGCTGCTAACAAAAACTGATTAACGCGTTCAGTGCAAATTGACATGCCTATTCCATATCCCCTGGGCACAGAGAATAACATTTTCAAAAAAAAAAAAAAAAAATTCCCTGTTTACCCCTTTTTAGATGTCTCCTAATGAAAGGCTATGAATTCCAAATGTTAACTAGTATACATGATAATAATACTGGTAAGGGAAAATAATAGTAACCTGTAGGATAATATCTGCCTATAAGGCTCTAAAATTGCAATACTTCAGTATTTCAGATTTAGATTACTGAGTGTCAGTGCACAATCACAGCTCACTGTAACCTTGAACTCCTGGGCTCAAGCAATCCTCCCATGCAGGTGGATCACTTGACATCAGGAGTTCGAGACCAGCCTGGCCAACATGGTGAAACCCCATCTCTACTAAAAATACAAAAATCAGCCAGGCATGGTGGTGTGCGCCTGTAGTCCCAGCTACCGAGGAGGCTGGGGCAGGAGAATGGCTTGAACCTGGGAGGCGGAGGCTGCAGTGAGCCGAGACTGCCCTACTGCACTCCAGCCTGGGGGACGGAGTGAGTAAGTGAGTGAGTGAGTGAGTGAGAGAGACTGTCAAAAAAAAAAAAAAAAGAGATTCTCCCACCTTGGCCTCCCAATGTGCTCGGATTACAGGTGCAAGCCATCACATCTGGCCCAATTTGAGATTTTCAGTATGGAGCAGACAATGAGGCCAATCACAGATAAGACTGATATCTTCATTAAAGCACACTTACCTTTCACTTGAAATGCATTGTTATAAGCTCTTCAAGGTTGTTATACATTTTTAAAATATTTCTTTTAAGAGTATATTCAATCCCATAGTGACGTATTAGCTTTCTCATCTTATAAGACCCCTCTGATCAGTTGACGATATTTTACTTTTTTATATGAAGAGTTTATTAACCTGACCTTTGACCTCTATTAGATATAAGCATAAATCAATGTCTAGCCATAAGCATCCAAATTGATATAGGTGGTTTCATTAGAACATAAAAAAGGAGAGATGTAAATGTTAACAAAGGTCATCTATAGGGATATTCTTGGCATTCTGGTTTATTAAAAAAATAACATTAATACAGCCCTACATACTCTATGAATGCGTACATAAATGAGATGACCTCTGTTCATAAATGCTGATTTGCTATCAAGGGCTAGATGTCTATGATTATAAAGCTATTAGCAATGACGACTGAATTGAGCAATTCACACATTTTCTTACCTGATTTTCTTTGTGGCTACGTCCAGGTAACAATTTTTGTCGAGAGGAATCTAATTAGCTCTAACAGGGACTTTGACTTTATTGTCCTGATAAGTTAGTATCCATAACTGCAAAAATAAGTACCATAAATTACCTGGCATTCTAGAAAGGTTTGGGCTCAAAGTTGATAAATCAAGGCCGGGCACGGTGGCTGATGCCTGTAATCCCAGCACTTTGGGAGGCTGAGGCAGGTGGATCAGGTGTTTGAGATCAGCCTGGCCAACATGATGAAACCCCATCTCTACTAAAAATACAAAAAAAATCAGCTGGGTGTGGTGGTGTATGCCTGTACTCCTGCCTACTCCGGGGGCTGAGACAGAAGAATCACTTGAACCTGGGAGATGGAGGGTGTAGTGAGCCGAGATATCGTGCCACTGCACTCCAGCCTGGGTGACAGAGTGAGACTCTGTCTCAAAAAAAACTGATAAATCAGTAATCCCCTATCTACTCTTCCTTTCATTTTCAACTACAATTTATATCTACAAAACAAACTGATCCTTAAAGACTTTATTTCAAAGTCAAAGCTCTTGCTATTTTAATGCACCAACATGGCCCATCCAAGTGAGCACATGATATATCCTATACATCTTTCCCATTTCAGAGACTGAAAGAGAGAGCAGGAGGCAGGAAAGAGCAGGACACCAATGTGACAAAATGCTAAAGCCAAGCTATAAATTATCTTTTGGTCATTCTCTGCTGCATTTTGAAAAAGCTGACACAACAGTACAGCCTATCCTTCCGTTGGATAGATACGAGCATCATACAAAAGTATCCTCCTAACTCACTACCAACAGTGCTGCCCTCCCATCTTTCACACAACTTGCCCAGCAAGAGAAGCACTGCTGGGTTCTAAAGACAATGACTGAAAGCTCTGTATTCTGATGATGGGAGGGAGCAGTAAAGACCAGCTTCCTGGGCTCTAAAGTATGCCAGACTGCCGTGCTAATCCTCCCCAAATCCCACACAACGTTTGGGTGGGGGTGGGGAAAAGGATAGAAAACAATCTAAACTCCATCAAGAACAGTAGCTATGGGTTATAGAGTTCATAACATTCCAATTTGAATGAGGGGAGGGGATAACTGAGTAGGGGAAAGACATAGACAAAAGCCTTTAAAACGTATCTTTAAAAACATAAAACAAAAGTGAATTTTATCTCTGATCCTTCTGATGTGCTAACCAACATCTGCCCCCAATCATTTGCCAGCCCTGGCTGCACAGAATGCACAGAGTAGCAGACATTTTCGCACAGTAAAGCTGGAAGAGATGCTACTAGAGTGTAAATTACTAATTAGCTCAATAAAAGACAAAGAGAGAAAATACCTGTCACCGAATGCTGTTTACAACTTGGCATATAATAAAAAACCCTGAAAATTTCAGGAGAATGCCTTACTTTCCAGACTTCTATTAACATGTGAATGGAAAAGGGATAGTATTATAGTCTTTAAATAAACAGCCCATGTTCTCTGAAACAATAACACATGACTAGAAAGAATGCTTTCCAATTTGTAATTTTTTCATCCTTACGAAAGGGTGGTGATTTTAATTAGTGCAATCAGCTTTTTTTTTTTTTTTTGAGACGGGGTCTTGCTCTGTCGTCCAGGCTGGAATGCAGTGGCTCGATCTCGGCTAGCTACAACCTCTGCCTCCCAGGTTCAAGCGAATCGTGTTCCTCAGCCACCGAGTAGCTAGGATTACAGGCATGCACCACCACGCCCAGCTAATTTTTGTATTTTTAGTAGAGACAGGTTTCCCCATGTTGGCTAGGCTGGTCTCAAACTCCTGGCCTCAAGTGATCTATCTGTCTTGGCCTCCCAAAGTGCTGGGATAACAGGTGTGAGCTACCATGCCTAGCCTACAATCAGCTTTAACAAGGAGCTATATTTCATAGCTTTGATAATTGCTTAAAGAGGGGAAGAAAAGGAAAAGAAGCCCACAAGTGACGTATTTTACATTTGGCAGAATACGGTTAATACTCCTTTCAATTAAACCAAGAGGACTTCCTTCAGGTCACAAGTTTATCAAATGGCTAGGCCATCATTTTAATGAAGATTAAATGATGGGGAGGGAGTGAGTTAAATTTTCTAACGTGACAACAACTAAGACTCCCAAAATTTAGGTTTATTTGGGGGTAAGTTAATAAAATATTAAGATACTTCCATTCATCCCTTTACCATATGACAATGACAAACCTATTTGTACTCATCCCAAACGATGATCTTTTTTTTAGACTGAGTCTCACTCTGTCAACCAGGCTACAGTGCAGTGGCTTGATCTTGGCTAACTGCAACCTCCATGTTGCAGGTTCAAGCGATTGATTCTCCTGCCTCAGCCTCCTGAGTAATTGGGATTACAGGTGCGTGCCTCCACATCCAGGTAATTTTTGTATTTTTAGTGGAGACAGAGTTTTACCATGTTGGCCAGGTGGTCTCAAACTCCTGGACTCAAGGAATCCACCTGCTTCAGCCTCCCAAAGTGCTAGGATTATAGGCGTGAGCCACCGTGCCCAGCCAACGAATATTCTGAAAGCAATATATTTTGCACTTTGATCTTTTCCAGCTCCTCAAAGCTATCTAAGAGTCTTTAAAATATGTATTTCACCTAAATATTTGGTCGTGGTGTTGAAAGGCCCCATGGCTCCTGTTTCTCACACAATAATCACCCATACCTCAACAGCTAGCATGTCCCGAGGACACATCCATGTGTGAGCACACCACGCCACGCACTAGAGAGGGGTTCCCAACAGAGGGGTATGCTATGACACAGTTTCCGCTAACAGGAGAGACCTACAAACCCATTGTTGACAAGTAAAAAAATCTCGGAATGTACTGGAGACAAGACTATAAAAACACAAAAGCCACTCTAAATCCAATCTTGAAATTCCTTTGCTTCAAGTGCTTGACCAAGATCAAACACAAACTAAACTTTCTGAAATATGCAAAACATTCTCCTCTCTTCTTCTTTAAAATTAAGGTCTTCATATGCATTTTCTTCAATTTGATTTGTTTAAAAATACCCGAGAGAAAATGATAAAGCAGATGGGCAAAATGAAAAAAAGAAAACTGGTGAAACTGAGTAAGGGTATACAGCAGTTTCTTGTATCAGTTTTGCAACTTTCCATGTTTAAAAAATTGTAATAAAATCAACAGTCACCAAAAAATAGAGTATGAACAACAGAAGTTCCCTCATAGCACTGTTTCAAGTTTCAAACAATTCACAGACTGTTAATGCTGGACACCTAGTAAACACTCAGTAATTGTTACTTCTTTTTTAAAATGAGTGGATCAGCTGGGTGCAGTGGCTGACGCCTGTGATCCTAGCACTTTGGGAGGCCGAGGCAGTTAGATAACTTGAGGTCAGAAGTTTGAGACCATGGTGAAATCCTGTCTGTACTAAAAATTTAGAAATTTGGCTAGGGCTGGGTGTGGTGGCTCACACCTGTAACCCCAGCATTTTGGGAAGCCGAGGCAGGTGGGTTACCTGAGGTCAGGGGTTTGAGACTAGCCTGGCCAGCATGGTGACACCCCATCTCTACTAAAAATACAAAAATTAGCTGGGTATGGTGGCAGGCACCTGTAATCCCAGCTACTCCGGAGGCTGAGGCAGGAGAATCACTTGAACCCCGGAAGCAGAGGTTCCAGTGAACCGAGATCGTGCCATTGCACTCCTGCCTGGGTGACAAGTGCAAAACCACATGTCAAAAAAAAAAAAAAAAAAAACTTGAACCCCGGAAGCAGAGGTTCCAGTGAACCGAGATCGTGCCATTGCACTCCTGCCTGGGTGACAAGTGCAAAACCACATGTCAAAAAAAAAAAAAAAAAAATCTTGGCTGAGTGTGGTGGCAGGTGCCTTATCCCAGCTACTAGGGAGGCTGAGGCAGGAGAATGACTTGAACCTGGGAAGCGGAGGTTGTAGTGAGCTGAGCTCACGCCAGAAACAGAGAACCAAGCTTGTCTTTAAAGTTACTGATCATGGGATGTTGATTTTTCACTGTTTCCTATTAATCTTCAGCTGAACACAAGTAAACCTTCTCAGGTGTGTCTTACCTTCTTATTGTTCCCTCTCTTATACTCTACTCAATGAAACCTTTCTCTTGAGGGTCATTTTGCTTTCTATATTATACCAGTGTTAACTGACATGGACATATAAGAACTTTTCACACTTCAAATCAGAGCAGTGATTCTCTCTCCTTTTCTTTCCGAGTCAATCATCCAGACACCTCATGGACAGTTCGGGTGCTGGAGTTTTTTTGATTATGTACCTTTTGATAGATCTGCATAAAAAGAAATGTGAAGTTGTCTTTTTACTACCTTTTCATTTATCAAGAGGAGACCTTTGTTGGGAGGCAGTTTGGGAGAACACAACATTTCTAATTTGAATGAAACGAAATCTATTTTCAATGAAAAAAAAAAAGTTCTGTCTCAAAAAAAAAATAAAGTTAAAAGAAATGTATAGGGGGAATTGATATATCACTTAGACAGGCACACATAAAGAGAAAATAGTAAAAAGTTAGTGAGGATATAAACTGATTTTGCTTATGGATATTTGCACTGAAATCTGCAATCAGGAAAAATCCATTTTTCTTCAAACAGCAACAATCTTTCAACTGTAAATGTGTCATAGTATGCAACAAGTCCAGGGCATTTTTCTAGCTGAGAAGGTGGATGGGTAACCTGCAATGCAATAAGGCATTTTTTATGGCTTTGGGGTTGTTTTTTAAATCAATTTTGGAATGCCAGAGCCTTGACATAATCTTTGCATTATACACAACCGTTATGGTGTTTACCCCAGGTTCCCCATCTAGAAAGGAATTTTAAAAAGTTAGTAACAGGACTACAGGATAATTTAAAGATTGGCAAACAAAACTTGTTAAGCATTGAATCTGAAGAAAAGCATGGTGAGGGATGACTTCACAACTGGCAAGCCAGAGGCAAAACCAGTGCACAGACTCTGCTGGCAAAATGCAAAGGTTGGAATCCCATCCCACCACTTGGTAGAATTCTAGCTTTTGAACTAAAATAAAGATTAAATGTATCACTGGGTTACTATTTAAGAAAACATAGTATTATTTGTAATATAAGATAATTAACTACCAAACAAGTAGTTGTAGAAATGTCTGACTATAACCTTGGGCAAGTAATTTAATCTCAAGGACCCTCTATTTCATCACCTGTAAAATGTGAATAGTAATAGTACCTACCTCATAGGATTGCCACTGAGGAGTAAACAAGTTATAATTTGCAGTGCACAAAAGCAGTATATATGTGTTAGCTACTATTATTAAGTTTATGAAGAACTAAGGTCTTATAAATACAATAATACACAGATATTTTTTACTCAAAAATTGAGAATGGGGCAAGAGGAAACAAACACATATATAGCATTAAGCATGTGCTGGTTAGAGAGAAGGCAGACTCTCTCGATAGAGAAATTACTAAATGCTGGCAAAGATTATCTACAGAGGTTACCACATTACTGCTGAAGATTTATTTTAAAAAACAGGATCAATTTTTATCTACCTGGGATGATGTAAGTGGGATATTGACTGGAGTTGCAGGATAAACTAGAGGTCCTTTCAAGGTCTCTTCCCATCCAAAGAATCTACGATTAACCAGGAAAACATTTAATTATGTACAACCTAATAAATCTAAAAATATTAACTTAAAAGCTTTTGCTTAGCAAATAAGATTATAACCAAAATAAAGTTAAATTGGGTAGAACTGTACTTGATGAAAATATTAAAATAAAACTTAATCATTGGAGTCCTTATTGATAAAGAGTATTATCTGAATTTTTAAAAATCCATTTTTAGTTTTAGAAAAAGCAACTGAGAAATAACCATTGACAATGAGACTCAGTGGTTTAGCACACTAAGGCCATTGCATACAGAAACAAAAGGCAGGACTCAGACTCTTTCCCTTGGCTGATCTTATAGTTTATATTTTCTTCTTTACCAATATCAAATAAGTCTATAATCATTTATGTAAAGATATTGAGCATAAAACAATTACAATCACATTATAAACATGGCAATACCATACAGAGTACATCCTACTACTAACACCAGCCCAAACACATCTATAAAGAGAATATGCACACCATCTCACTGAAACAAGTTCCTCATATCAAAGTTACTCTTCATCTTGAAAGTGAACATTATCAAACTAATCCTTTTTAAATGTAGAGGCAAATATAGTAATTTTTATAAAGATCCTCTGTTAAATTGCTAAATACATCTAGTCACCTTGAAGACTTGCTTAATACAATCCAGGACACAAACCATAAACTAAATACTATGCCACTAACACAGTAGCTGAATGCAGAAAGAGTTTTCTAAATTATTCATACACATTAATAACCATTGTTGCTCATATCCACAAATCAAAATCTAATCTTTGTTAACTATTACAAATATCAAAAGCCTAATCTTTGCTATTTATACACAAACACCAACAAAAGAATGGCAATCCAAAATTTATGCAACTTTAAAATAAAAGTATCTTTGTGCATCTGAGTGTACACAATGAAATAACCCCAATCAGGATTCTCAACAACAGTTTGCATTTTTCCCTAGGTAAATTGTATGCTATCTTTTGGTACCATCAAATGCAAAACAAATATTCATTCATATTCTTAGCTAAATGTAAAAGCTTCTGAATAAAATCATTAAAACAAAATGCTAAGTTAAGAATAACCAAAATTTTGCCCCAAATTTCTTATCTTCTTTTTCATTTCTAATGGTGTCTTAAAAAGCAAAAGCTTCTAGAAAATTAATATTAATCTGGCCTTCTTTATTCAAAACCATAAAACACGAAAGGCAGTGGAGCTGTCCAAAGACTCAGCATGCAATATTATAGAGCTGTTTTGCCATCAAAATTACTCATAAATTCATTATTTACCCTAAAACATAAGTCTGCCACTCTAAAATCCTCCACTACTCTACAATTCTCCCTTTCTTTATTCCATTTTGTTAAATGGGTGAGTTACCAACTACAGCATGAAACGTCCCACACAAAGCTAAAGGCAGCTCAGGAACTCAAAGCCCTCAGCTCTGATTTAAATCTCTCCCCCAGTAAACTTCTTGGTTGGTTATTTGCCTTTCTCTGAAATGATTTCTCAATATTCTCCAGCCACTGAAAACAATAAGCAGAAACCTGGTTGATTAATCAAAACAAACAGATTTTCACCTTTCTATCCCAACAACAGCGCGTTCTCCATTGAAAATGAAAATGAAATGCTGTCCGTAAAACACAGCCCAGCACTTGTCAGGTACAACACTCCTACAACACCAAAACTATCACATCACATGGGTACACGCTAAACAAACACACACATTCCCCCCATTATCACAACACTAGTGAAATGCAGAGGTTTTCAACACCCAGAGTTTATGCTTTATTATCCATACAAAAATCAAATCAAAATGAGTTTCATTTCTTCAAAGTAGACAAGAAAATCAAATCAAAAGCAATGAAAGGTGGAAGCGGAATCAAGATTCCTTGAAGAGAGAAAGAGCTTTCTGGAATTTCCTACTTTTAGGGACAAAAGGATTCACAGTTTCAACACACAGTTCTCTTCTCAACAAAGAATTCCTTTCCTGCACCCCCCACCTCTGCCCTTACTTTTTTAGTCTTTACCCCTGTCTCTAGGTCCCCTTTCACTCACCATGGTTCCTCCTCTTCTGCACCAAAGGTTCTCTTACACTTGATCTTTCACTACAACATTTGTGCCCTGACCCTTGCAGACCTTCCGGAGCAACTACCTACAACACTCACATACTCACATTCAATTCCCACCCCTGTGCAGTCTACCCTCGTTCTACATCCATCAGGACTCCCCCAGCTTCCCTTAGCCCCCTTCTCTTCCCTTACTCCCCACCACATCCTTTAAATCCTGGGACCCATCTCTTCCTGCTCCTCTCACCGTCTGCTTTTAGCCCTGTCTCTTCACCTCACTGCTTTCACCTTGGATCTTGCTGAACCTCTTCAATTAACGTAATTCCCCAGTTATTCTTGTCCCAAACGGCCATCACTTCTTACACCCTAACTCTAGTCTCCTTTCAGCTCCTCTGGTCCTAGAATTGTTCCACAGACGCCCATCTCTTATCTGTTTCCTTTCGCCCTCCCACCACTCTTATTCCTGACTCCACCTGGTTCCAGTCCAGGTCTCATTTGCCCTCCCTCACTTTACAGAATTTACACCCATTGCCCACCCACTAACCCATTCCTTTCTCAGAACCTCAGCAGCAGTTCCGACCACACCGCTGGTCCTAGTCCTTCAGCTCATCTCGCTCCGCACTAGTTCACACCCTTGTCACGTCTGGCTCTTAATCACTCTCTCTTCCCTACTCCCAACTATTACCCCAGCTCTGCCCCTCCTTGTCTTCCACTTCCAACTCCTACCCCGGTATCTCTCACCCCAACACCACCCCCTACGAAGCTTTCCCCTTCAAACCCCCGCTCTTACACCTAATCCCAGGATCCCTTTTCCCAGCCCTAATCTCATTCCTTGCCCGGCTTCCTTAACGCCCACCCTGGCTTTTGCCTCCTTCCTACCTCCTGGGCTGGCTTTTTCTCACTCCTGCTCTCCCTGGCTTCTAACCCTTTCTCCCCTTAATCCTCCTCATCTCATTCTCAACCCGGTTCTCCCCATCGCCCCCAAGCCTTTCTTCCTCTCTCCCTTCAAGGCTTTTCCCCCGACCCAGTCGTCGCCCACCCCGCCAAAAAAAAAGCGCCGGCGCGCCCCGATTCCCAGCTCTCTCCTCCCGCCGCCCCCGCCCCGGGCGCCCCCAGCCCGCCGGCGCCGCGGTCCCGCCCCCTGCCGCCGCTCCTCCCGCCCGCAAGGCGCGCGCTGCCTTTGTCGCCCCTCACCCGGTGTGTGAGGATTTTGCTTCTTTAAAGGGGAGGGCTAGTGAGCCGGAGACTGCTGTCCCCGCCTCCGAGTCTTAGAATGGACTCCCTGACCGTCGCGGCCTCCCCGGTCCCCGTCCCCCTACCCCTGGAGATACCCACTTTGCTGCCTCCCCACCTCCTCTGTCCCCTCCCCCGGCCCCCTCTATTTACCGCCATCATCAGCACGCGCGAGCTGTCACCAGGGCGCGAGACAACCGAACTCGGCCCCGCCCCCTGCCCGCCTATTGGCCCGCCCGCCGGAGCCCCGCCCCTCAGGCCCTGCATTGCGCCAACGGCGCAGCGCTGGGCCGCGACCCCGGCACCGGCACCCTTTCCGAGGGTTCGCGCCGCAGGCGCAAAGTTTAGGGTCAGCCACAAACGCGCGGCCGATTTGAGCCTGGCGTAAGAGGCAGCGGCGTAGGGAGACGTTGTGAATGGCTGGTCGAAGTTTGGTTGAAGCACAAGAGGGTAAATAAGAAGGTTTCCAGACAAAGAGACTCTTAAAGGTACAGACTCTATGTCTGTTCCCTCCTCCTTAAAGGGCCAGAGACGCTCCAGAGTCCATCTCCGCCCCCTTCTTCCTAGAGAACTGTAAAGGCATTTTACACGGGTTTCCTGTACTCTTTTGGGTTCACCTTTAAAACACCTCTCCCCTCCGCGAAGGACAAAGGCTTTCTCACTATCCCGTGCATATGTTTTGTTCTGTTAAAAGACGTTATTTCTGTGTTGTTCCTAAAGCAGCAGCCCGCAAACTGTGGGGTTTCCGGAGACAGCGTTTGCAAAAGTTACTGTTGGGTCCCAGGCGGGCGAGCACGTGTCTGGCTTTTGCCACAGATGACCCAAGAGAGATTCAGCTGTTTTATGGAAATCCCCCCCAAGGAAGAGGATCGCTGCCGGAACTGAAGAAGGTCAGCAGACTGTGGGGCTTGGGAAATAAACCAGACTGAGTTGGTAGTGGTCCTAAGGACTTCTTTCTAGAAGGATGGGGATGGACACCATTGGAAAACATAACAGTCCTTGTGGGATGGTTTGGTGGGTGGGGGCGGTGGAAATGGGTGTCACCCAAAATAAGATCAACAGTTTCAACACCCAACACATAGCTAAAAAGACTTACCTTTAATTATAAGGACATGTGAAAGAAACAGACATTAGCTACAGTAGTGGCTCAAGTTTACACACCTGTAAATAGGAGAACTAGGTAAGCACAAAGAACACCACCACACACAATAGGAAGGGTTTTGGAAAACTACAATGCCTGGAGCCAAGCGCTGTGAAGGCAATTTATTAATAACTTGCACATTTAAAAGAGGTTTGGTAGAAGAAGAGAAAGTGGAGTGGATTTATCATGAGGTTCAAGACCTCAAGAGTTAGATTCAGAATTTAGCACTCCCTCTGTCATCTATCAGTTAACATAATTCTTTTTAAGGAATTCTTACATTATAACTCTAATTATCTGTCTTATTCCCTTACTCAGCAATCCCCAATAAAATTCTTGGAGAAGAAAGGTTGTTACTTATTCAATGTTAGTTCCAAAACAAGGTGCTTTTGAAGAGTGAAGAATTTGGGAGACACTTAAAACTTTTAATGGAAGGGATGCTCCCAGAATAGCAATACAGGAGGAAAAGGTTCTCAGTGCTCTGAGCATGTATTAGATCAGTGGTTCTCAAAAGTGTGGCCTGAAAAACCCTAGGGATCTCTGAGACCCTTTGGGCTAGGAGGACGGGGTGGGGGTGCCTGAGATCAAAACTATTTTCATAATAATACTAAGACATTATCTGCATTGTCCCTTTGATAACATTTGCACAATGACACAAAAGTAGCAATGAGTAAAAAACTGCTGCCTTAGCACAAATCAAGGCAACTGCACCAAGCTGTACTAGAGGTCAAGGTATTCTTCACTGCCATAGTAAAAAACACCTGTTTTAGGATGGGTACAGTGGCTCACACCTGTAATCCCAACACTTTGGGAGGCCGAGGTGGGCGGATCACTTGAGGTCAGGAGTTCAAAACCAGCTGGCCACCATGGTGAAACACTGTCTCTGCTAAAAATACAAAAATTAGCTGGGTGCAGTGGCACGCACCTGTAATCCCAGCTAGTCAGGAGGCTGAGGCAGGAGAATCGCTTGAACCAGGGAGGCAGAGGTTTCAGTGAGTGGAGATGACACCATTGCACTCCAACCTGGGCAACAGAGCAAGACTCCATCTCAAA